ATTTGGCAAGGATAAAAGGGGAAATTAACAATAAAATAACCAATAATTAACACCCTATCAATTCCCCCCACACCTAAATCATGCTTGCCCTCAAGCATGGGAACAACAATTGAACACCAAAAATTCGACAATGGCTATTGCTCCAACTACCGTATTGCCAAGATACCCAGGAAAAAACAAATATCAAGCATTACAGGTTAAGATCAAAGAAAAACCACCTCGATTAGCCTCCTAACCACCAACTCCTCGAATTTAAAGCAAACTAATCTAAGAAAAAGGAATGGTTGTTCACATTTATCAGCAAATGATCCAACTATTAACCAAAATCTCGACATTAAGATCACAAACCGGCAAGCAGACTTATTCACATACTAACACAATCTTTACTTTATTATTATTATTATTATTTTAGTAGCAAAAGACTTAGTCTATAGCCCTTAGAGCCTTTTGACGCGAACTCCAACATTTGACAGATGGAGGAGCCCGGTTACTCAGCTCCAATCGCTACAGGACCACGCACTCATAGCAACTACTACCTTTTGACGCGAGAATCGACACTTTAGGTGAAGATCCCCGGTTACTCAGTAGTAACCACTAGCGGAGTACAGTCAACTCTTATTTATGATAACATACCACAATAACTAGAAAATATCACAAAAATAACAGCAGCCAGCCTCAAATTTCCAAACATGGAGAACTAAAATTAATAATTGGACCAATTCACATGAAAAATGCCAACAATCATTCCCTATGCCTAGAAAAGTTAACCAAAAATTGGAAAAGTTAAGCAATTATTGCTATTCACCAAAGAGATATTCCTGAACTCAACCACATTAACATAATACCCTTTTATTAATAAAACTTGGCAATGATAGAATTAGAGGCAACAATCCAGCATCAAAATTTGGTAGTCATAGAAGAGCTGACCACTAAAAAGAAAGAAGAACAAATAAACGAAAAATAGAACAAATAACAAAATAAAACAAAGGAAAAACACCTAAAGATCGAAAACTGGAAATACTAGCACCCAAACTGACCCCCCCACACCTAATTCACACATTGCCCTCAATGTGATAAATAAACAGTAATAGTAAGCAAAAGAGCAACGGTACTTCCCTGAAGTCATCAAAACAGGGGCAATTCAGGTGGAAATTGTGGATCAAGACCTGCATGGTGACGTCAATGTGGGTCATCCGAGTCTCTAGTCTCTCAACTCGCATCTGGAGCTGGTGCCATTCGTGGCTTCACCATGGACTCTCGATATCACTCTAAGTAGCAAGAGACTACAATTGTCAACAAATAATAGAAGCCAGAAATTCAAAGCAATAACAATTTTAAGGCCAATCCAATGAGCAAAGTGCACAATTCAATCACCCAGAGGACATACAAATACCTCAACACTAATAACAAATGCAATCAATGAGCCCCTGTGGTCCAAATGTAGTCAAATTCAGAATCAAGGTAGTCCAATCATGCAACAAGTGCTCCAAATAGCTTAGTAAAGGAAACCAAAAGAATAGAATGCTCCTAAACAAGGCAATCAGAGGCAACTAACTTCAATAAGCAAATTTCAGCGTTATAGGCACCTCCCAATTTAACAAGCAAATTACCCACAATTAGACACAAATCACAGCAAAATAGACACAATTGGTCCCAAAATGGTAACAGCTGCCTCCAATTGGACAGTCAATTCCCCAATTCAACCTGCCAAAATCAGCAATTAAGCCAAGCAACAGGCAATTCTAGCAATGACCGTTTAGAATTCGAGAAACAATTTAAGCACTAAAACCCAAGAGTCGAGTAGGCAGTCAAGCATAAAGGATTAAGAAATTTTAGTCAACACCACAACCAGTACCTCTGGTGCCCGCTCAGAAAAAAAACTAGAGCACATAGCCAACTCAAATTTAATCCCCACAGATGAAAATAGAGGCTTCAAGTAGGCGAAACCCAATTAATGCACAACAATGTAATCAATACCAGAGAATATCCCCAAATGGAGCAGCAAATAAACTCAGTTCCACCAAAATTAACCCCAAAAAAAAAAGCCTAAATCACCCCCTGCTTTTAGCTATCAAGAAACCCACGAAACAAAAGCGCAAATTCCAGCCATAGTAAGACTAGCAGAATACTAATCGAGGTTGACGAGTCAATACCTCCACCTGTCCATTTGGACAGGTGAGAATGGCGTGAGTAGCGGCGGCTGGCGGCGGTCTGCCGCGGCAGAGCATGAGCTTGTAAGGGAGAGTGAGGGGAATAGCGGGCAGCTCCACGGCTGCTGGTGGCGTCGGAGAGAGTGAGAGCAGGGGCGGCGGCGAATGCTTCTGGTATAGCGCGAGCTCGCGCGCTGGTGGAGGTCGATGGCGGAGGCACGCGAAGTGGAGAGAGAGCAGAGGGGGAGCTGCGAGGTAGGTGCGGCTGGGAGCTGGCGGCGAACTTTGGAGCTGCTGAAGGTGGTTCGTGAGGTGGAGCTTGGAGCTCGGAGGCAGCGGCGATAGAAGCTGGTCAGCAGCGTGCGGCAATGGATGAGAAAGGGAGACTGGTGGCGAGCTGCGATGGCAGTTCGGGCGCTGTGCGTCGTGTGGGGTTGGAGGCAGCAGCAAGATGTTGCGGCGCTGGGCTGTGGAGCTTGGGGAGGCGGCTGAGCTGGACGGCGGCGCTGGTGTTGCTCTGGTGCCATGGTGAGGGCGGCGCGCGAGGAAGGGGAGTGCGGCGGTGGGGTTGCGTGCGGCTTGGGTCTCGGTCGAAGAAGAAAAGAAAAGAAGAAGAAGAAGGAAGCGGGGAAGAAGAGGAATAAAAGAAAAAGAAAGAAAGAAAAAGAAGAAAGAAAAAAAAAATAAAAGAGAAAAAAGAAGAAAAAGAATAAGTACCTACTCAAGAAAGGTACTTATTATGTTAAACGAATTATGTTAAACGAATGACCTTCTTTTTTTTTTTTTTGGTTAATAAAGTTTGCTTTTTATCAAAAAAAAAAAAAAACAATGACCTTTTATGTATACAAGTTAGGTGAGACTCTATAGCTGTTAGACTAGAGTACTATACAGCTAGTTGGGTAGAAGTTGTTAGAGTACTAATGAATTTGTATTTTAGGATTTTAGATTTTCTTACAAGTTGCACACAAATATACACACAATCAGCGCTAATACAAAATAATCTAGGCAATTAGTATTCCAAGTAGGAAAACAAAACAAAACAAAAATGCTTTGCAAGTGCAGAGGCCCCGTCCTGGGCCTGTACACGTGGCAGCCCCGGGGCGATCTGAGTTGGGCTTGGACTCCGAGCCCATGGGGAACTAGCCCAGGTCGCACGACGGCTAGGGCTCCGCGGGGCTCCCGAGAGCTACCCCGTAGAGGGCGGGGAGAATCCCCTTCAGCGCGGGGTGGGGAGCTATCCAGGGCAAGGCCCGAAACGTACGGAGGTCGGATTCCTCAACAGGTATAAACAGTAACACACAACGACTGTGCACGGTACGCTCACTAATTTCTGGACAATCACTCTCGACCGTTTACTTCCCGTGAACCGTACTCACCGGAAAACTAACTTGACCGTCGGAGTGCCATCGGGGACAACCTCAGGGCCCCTGTCAGTTCACTTTCCTGTTTGTCTTTCAGGCTTAGGACGCGCTCTTTCCGCCATCAAGCCGAGCTCATCAGGTCAGCTCGGTTCGGGGAAGCTCCGTGCTTCTTCAGTTGGCGCCGTCTGTGGGAAACGATGGTACCAGTATTTGCGTTGATGGCGAGAACGCGTTCCAAGCGAACCGTGGATAACACTGATCCCGGAGCCGGTGAAGGGGCCCGGCGGTTGGAGACCGAGGCGGCCCGAGGCGCCGGGGGTTCAACCCTTTCAGGGGAACGAAGACAGCAGATCTATCAGTTTGTAATCGAGAATCTCCCCATGCTGGAAGACATAATCCGGCAGGCGAAGGAGGGGGGTGAGGCCAAGGGTGCGCAGACCTCTAAGACGAAGGGGAAGGAGAGGGAGTTGCTCCCCATTCCCACGGAAGACGAGTCTCGGGATCAGCCCCCTAGGAGGAAACGACCGCAGACTCCCCCCAAACCGCGGGCCTTGGTGGTCGGGGATAGTGAGAGATATTCTCGCGACCGGTCCGCTGGGGACCGACTGAGAAATCCCTCCTCGTGGAAGCTTGGGCAGAACGAGCCTGAGCGCTCCCCCGCCCGGTCTATCAAGAGCCGGCCGCGGGACCCTCCCCAATGGCAGCCCGTCCGGGACGAACTCGAGCAGATCCTGCGACCACAACAGTACGGGGACAACTACACAGCCTCGCCCTTCACCCGGGAGATAGAGGACTACCCGTTTCCTCGGAGGTTTAAAATCCCGAACATCGAGCTGTACGATGGTTCGACTGACCCGGAAAACCACCTCTCGGTCTTCCTGACGCACATGCGTCTACAGACCGCTGCGGATGCACTCCGTTGCAAGACCTTCTCCATGTTTCTGAAGGGTAAGGCCCGGCTCTGGTTCCAGGGCCTAGCACCGGGGTCTATCCGGGGTTTCATCGAGCTGGCCAGACAATTCGCCGCCCAGTTCGTCTCCTCGAAAACTTACTCGAAAAATGCGGCCCACCTGATAGCCATCAAGCAAAAGCCGAACGAGTCCCTGAAGAATTTCATGACTCGTTTCAACACAGAAAGCTTGCAGATCAGGGACAAGGATGAAAAGGTGGTCATGGCTGCCTTCATGAACAGGTTAAGGGTAGAGGAACTCTACTACAAGCTTGTCGAACAGCCCCCCAAAAATCTGGAAGAGCTCTTGGCCCGGGCTCACGCCGCCGCCAACGCGGAGGAGGCCGCCCGCATGAAACGAGAGGCAGATCGGGAACTCGGGGACCGGAGAGGATGGGGAAACCCCCTGAAATCAAGGACGGCCAAGTCAGGAAGAACGTTTTCGATCGCCTCTCTAAGGATAAAGCCCCCGCTCAACCGCCGCTCCCGGAAAAAGGGTATACACCCCTGACTCGGCCAAGGGCACAGATCCTGGCTGTGATGGAGGCAGAGGGCCTAGGAGGACGGCCGCCCAAGATGGGGACACCCCGGAATAAAAGAAACCAGAACCGGTACTGTGCCTTCCACCGTGATGTAGGGCATGATACGGAGGGATGCTGGGCCTTGCGGAAGGAGATTGAAGACCTAATCCAGCGTGGTTTCTTGGGACGGTTCGTGCAGCCAGGTCGGCCGGGCCAGGAGCGCGAACGCGCCTACCGCGAAGAGCGGGGCGAAGGCTACCGCCGAGACCGCCCTGAGCGGCGTGACGCGGCCCGAGGTTACTCCCCCGATCAGGGCACCCAGAACCTGGCAGGGGTTATAAACACCATAGTTGGGGGTCCCACGGGAGGAGACAGCCATACAGCCCGAAAGAACAGGCGACCTCCTCCCGACGGAGATGATTCACTGAAGTGTCTGCGCATGGATGAGGTGATCACCTTCGGATCGAGGGACGCGGTTCCCTTGGCAGCCGAAAATCATGAGGCTATCGTAATAGACGTCGTCACCAATAATTATCGAGTGAAGAAAGTGTACGTCGATCAGGGAAGTGCAGTGGACATCTTGTTCTACAGGGTGTTCAAGGAGCTCGGCCTGGAGGACGGACAGCTAACCCCTGTTCGGACACATCTGGTAGGCTTTACCGGACCACCCATCAATCCGGAGGGGATGATTACCCTGATGGTCACGGTAGATCAGGCACCCAGATGCCGGACCATCCCTGTCAATTTCGTGGTAGTCAAGCAGCCATCTCCGTACAACATATTCCTAGGTCGGCCCGCTTTGAATGCCCTCCGGGCGATTCCCTCAACACTCCACCTCAGCGTCAAATTCCCCACCCCGGGGGGAGTTACCGAGGTGCATGGAGATCCGGAGGTGGCCTGAGCTTGCTACCTCGCCATGCTCCGGGGACACAAGAAGGTGGTCGCCCAGGCGACCAGCTTGGAGCCTTACATCCCGGGGGAGGAGGACCGGCAGCTGGGCACTCAGGATGAGATCGAGGAGTTCCCATTGAAGGAGGACGGGCCTGACCAGATAATCCGTATCGGTGCGTCGCTATCGCCCAAAGAGAAGGATGACCTGAAGGCCCTCCTAAGGGAGTACGCCCAGGTTTTCGCTTGGACGGTAGAGGACATGCCGGGGATTCCGACTGACCTGGTCGTCCACCACCTCAACATAGATCCCTGCTTTAAGCCAGTAAAGTAGAAGAAGAGGAACTTCGCTCCAGAGAGAAACGAGGTGATCAGGAAGGAGGTCGGAAAACTGCTGGAATCCAACATCATCATGGAGGTCTACTACCCGACCTGGCTAGCCAACCCTGTTCTGGTGAAGAAGGAGGACCAGTCCTGGAGGATGTGCGTTGACTTTACAGAACTCAATAAAGCCTGCCCGAAGGACTGCTTCCCCTTGCCGAGGATTGACAGGTTAGTAGACGCTACGGTTGGTTTTGACGTTTTGTGTTTCTTGGATGCTTTTAAGGGATACCACCAGATAGAGATGGTCGAGGAGGATCGGGAAAAAACTTCGTTCATCACCGAGGAAGGAACCTACTGCTACCGGACGATACCATTCGGGCTAAAGAACGCCGGAGTTACTTACCAGCGCTTGGTCAATAAATTGTTTCATAACCAGATCGGCAGGAACATGGAGGTCTACGTGGACGACATGATCGTCAAGAGCCGAGCAGGACCGCAGCTCGTCCCCGATCTAAGGGAGATCTTGAACATCCTCTGGGAGAGCCGGATGCGGTTGAACCCGAAGAAGTGCACCTTCGGAGTTAGGTCGGGCCGGTTCCTCGGTTTCTTGGTCTCCCGAGAAGGGATCCGGGCCAACCCCGAAAAGCTTCAGGCCATCATGGACATGGCCCAGCGACTTACGAGACGGATGGCCGCCCTGAATAGGTTCCTCTCACGGTCCGCGGCGAGGGGGCTCCCCTTCTTCCGAATCCTGAAGGCGCTCAAGGACTTTCAGTGGACCGAGGAATGCGAGAAGGCCTTTACCGACCTCAAGGCGTATTTGGCCGAACTACCCACCCTGACCGCCCCGGAACAGGGAGAAACCTTGTTCCTGTACTTGTCCGCTTGCAACGAGGCCGTTAGCGCGGTTTTGGTGGGGGAGGACAGGGGGGCTCAGAGGCCAATATATTACGTTAGCCGTGCCTTACAAGGCCCGGAAACGCGGTACACGCCGGCAGAAAAACTGATCCTCGCCCTGGTGCACGCTGCCCTAAAGCTCCGACCTTACTTCCAGGCCCACAGCATCTTGGTCATGACTGATCAGCCCTTAAGACAGATACTCACAAAGCCTGAAGTCTCGGGTAGGATGACCAAGTGGGCCGTCGAGCTTGCCGAGCACGACATCGGCTACCAGCCCCGCACTGCTATCAAGGCTCAAGCCCTAGCGGACTTCCTCGCTGAAGGAGCCAGCCTGTCCACAACTGAGCCTTGAACTCTGCCCGAAGAGGCCGAGCCAGAAGAGTGTTGGGTATTATTCGTGGATGGGGCTTCGAGCAAGGAGGGAAGTGAAGTTGGCCTACTGCTCACCTCGCCCACCGGGGAGGAGCTGACCTACGCACTTAGGTTCGACTTCCCGACATCCAATAACGAGACTGAGTACGAGGCCCTACTGACAGGATTGCGGATAGCCGACCAGATGGGTATAACCGCGATCAGGGTCCGGAGCGACTCTCAACTCGTGGTCTACCAAGTCCGGGGGGAGTACGAGTCCAAGGAAGACGTCATGAAAAGGTATTTGACTAAGGTGCAGGAGGCGATAAAGCTTTTTAACCTCTTTGAGATCGAGCGGGTGCCACGGTCGCAGAACAAGCGGGCGGACGCCCTGTCGAAACTGGCGTCCTCCTCGTTTGCCCATCTGAGCAAGGAGGTTTTGGTGGAGGTAGTCAAACAAAAAAGCATCGACCAGATCCAGGTCTCGGCTATAGCCAGCCCGGCCACTTGGATGACTCCTCTCGTGGACCTCCTCAACTCGGGTGCCCTCCCCGAAAATAAAACCGAGGCTCGCAGACTCCAGCTCCGAGCTGCCAAGTACGCATACGCCGGGGGGACCCTCTACAGGAGGTCATACTTGTCTCCCTGGCTAAAGTGCGTAACCCCCGAAGAGAGCGACTATGTCCTCCGAGAAGTGCACGAAGGCTTGTGCGCGGCACATGTAGGGTCCCGAGTGTTAGCCAAAAAATGTCTGCTTCTAGGCTACTACTGGCCCTCGGTGTTTCGTGACGCTGCAGCTCTGGTTCAGAAATGCCGAGTCTGCCAAGTGCATGCCCCGCTGCGCCACCAACCCATCCGGGAGATGGTCCCCATCCACAATCCTTGGCTTTTCGCCCAGTGGGAGATAGACCTCCTGGATCCCTTCCCCCGAGTTCCGGGCAGGTACGAACACCTCGTGATAGCCATCGACTATTTCACAAAGTGGATGGAAGCCGAACCCCTGGCCACTATCTCCGGGAGAGCAATACAGAAGTTCATCTGGAAGAACATAGTCTGCCGCTTTGGAATCCCGCATGTCCTAATATCCGACAACGGGCGACAGTTTACTGAAAATCCCTTCAAAAACTGGTGCGCCGAGCTCGGGATTAACCAGCACTTCACCTCAGTTGGACATCCCCAAGCCAATGGTCAGGTGGAGAATGTTAACCGAACCATTCTGCAGGGGCTGAAGACTAGACTTGAACTAGCCCAGTCTAACTGGCTGGATGAACTTCCTAGTGTCCTTTGGGCTTACCGCACTACGTCCAGGACGGCCACCCACGAGATCCCATTCTCTCTGACTTACGGAGTAGAGGCGGTGGTACCCGCGGAGATTGGTCTCCCCTCGCCCCGGACTCAGAATTTCGTTGCGTCAACCAACGAGGAAGAGTTGAGGTACAACTTGGACATGCTGGAGGCTAAACGTGAGGAAGCGGTGGTACGGATGGCTAATTACAAAAGTCAGCTCGCCCGCTATCATAATGCCAGAGTGAGAACCATACAGTACCAGCCGGGGGACCTTGTCCTAAGGAAGAACTCGGTCAGCCGAGCTCATGGCTCCAAAAATTTCGACCCGAACTGGGAAGGCCCATACCTGGTCCTTGAAGTAAGCCGAGCTGGCTACAGCAAACTCGCAAAAATGGATGGTTCAGAGGTATCCCGCACTTGGCACTCCTCCAATCTGCGACTGTTTGCAGCGTAGGATTGACCAGGGTGTTCGGTTGTCTGTTCTTTGGAATCCGAATTTCAGTTTCATCATTCAATAAAAGCTCGACTTTCAAGTTTTAATTTCATTTGTACTTGTTTGCCTTTTAAGTTTAAATCTTACACTAGCACACTTAGCGTTTCCTCACTAAATATCCTAGTGGGGGGCTAGGGGTTAGTAATGGATGCGGGATTGCTCGACCCCAGGAGGTCGGCGGGCGCCATTGCGAGGTGCGATGCTCGACCCCGAGAGGTCGGCACTGATCAAAACTTCTAGGTGAGTGCTCGACCCCAAGAGGTCGGCAAGGGTTAATGCTTGGGAATCTGGGAGCGCGACGCTCGACCCAGGAGGTCGGCACGAACATCTTCAAAGTCGGACGCTCGACCCAGGAGGTCGGCGGGAAAAATCCTTAAGGTTTGGTGTTCAACCCCAAGAGGCTGGCGGGGTGGTCGACCCGGGAGGTCGGCACGGGGTTTCGACAGTCTGGTTCCCTCTAAGGATCTAGTTGTTAGATTAACGGGGGTATGCATTTGGTGCTCGACCCAGGAGGTCGGCACCTGGTTTTGGTCGTTGTAGTAGGATGTAGGAAAAAGTTGCAAAGAAATCTCGTTCGAATTTCGTATATGTATTCAGAGCCTATCTATTACAAAACTTCCAGCCTATCTATTACAAGGCCTACCGAGCTATGAAAGAAAGACACCCTCGCGCTGGTGACCCGCCTGGAGCAGGAGCTGAAGGTACACCTTAAGCATGTTGGGAGGCGTATGGTGAAGGCTATTCAGGAACCCTGGAACATGGTCACATCCTTATAAGGCTCTCCGTCTCAGATGGACCTTCAAGAGCATTTTCAACTGGAGTATGGTCACATCCTTATAAGAGGATGGAAAGGGTTTCTGGAGTGACCGCTGCCCTCGGCCACAGGCTCCTTCCCGGAAGCCCTGCCGGGAGTCTCCTCCTCCTCCTCCAGGGGAAGCTCCGCCAGCTCGGCCCCTACGTCGCTCTTTCCCACCAGGTCCTTCAGGGCTTGCCCCTTGCGGTACCCGTCGAAGAACCAGTCCAGCTTCTCCTCGGCGGCGGGGTTGTAGTCTTTGAAGTCCGCCAAGTTGAAGCCAGGTGGGTTGAGGCCCTTCACCCGGTCCAGGACCCGCGTGGCGCCGATCTGGAAGATGAGCTGGTTGAGGAGGGCCACGTCCTCGGCGAACTGATTGGAAGAGATGAAGTCCCAGACAGCCTTCTTGCGCTCCTGGCTGACGGTGCCGGAGAGCTCGATGGCATGCTCCTCCCTCAGCTTCGCCACCCCCTTCTTCTCTTGGTCCAGCTCGGACCGGGTGGAGGCAAGCTGGATCTGGGACTCCTCCAACCCCTTCTCAGCCTTACCCAGCTTGGCCTTAAGGGAGTCTACCTCCTTAAGGGCCTTGGCGAGCTTCTGCTCGGCTTCCCGATTCCTCTTTTGCATCTTCTCCAAGTCGGGAGACAGTTCGGAGAAGCGGGTCACCAGGGCAGCACCGGCGGCGTTGGCCTGAAGAAATGAGAGTAAGAGTTAGCATACTACTAACCCCATTCAAAGAAAGAACAGGGATCCAAGGGGCCTAAAAGCGAGAGAGCTTACTTGGGTCTGGGCGGTGTAATACATATCCTGGAGCTCGGACGGGCTGGCCAACTCCATCCACTTCTCGTCGCGTGGAAGGACTGAG